ATAATATTTTCAGTTATTATATAAGGTCCCTATAAATAAATATAGTCATTGTTAAATGTATATAAATTCAGATAAATTAATCTTTATTATATATATAGAAATATATATTATATATTATCAATTATTAAAAAATTTTAGTTAATAGATATTGATAGATGGTATAAGTTTTAATAAAGTGGTTAGTTTAATACATTATACACATGACATAAAATATCTATAAAGTTTTATTATAGTGAATGTCGTTAAAATTTTATATTTATATGTATAATCATTTAATCTTCTGAACTATCATAAAAATCAATATATTTAATTTATTTAAAAAAGACATCTCTTTAATTAATAAATATGATTATTATTTAAATAGATAAGGTTTAAACAACAAAGAAATTGATTGAAGATTGTTAATATAGTACATACATTTAAAATAGTAGATGACTGGTGGTTATGAATATCCATTCATTAATTTCCGACTAATGTTTTATACGAAATTCCTTAGCTGCCATTTTCAATTGTGATTCTCTAAAAACCTGATAGAATTATCGTGATTATAGTGAGAAAAGTATGACATAGTTGCAGAAAATTTGATGGTAGGTATAACTCTCAGTTTATGCTAAGCAATAAGTAGATACTTAATCCACCATATAGTATAAACAGATTGATTCCCGCAATAATGAACATGTTAAGAAGGTAATATGTGTGAGGAAAATTTATTTATCTCTAGCAATCATATAAAGATTTTTTCTTGGATAAATTATATTAGAGTATCCATGACTCATCTCTTTTTTCGTTAGTGTTGCAATGTATACTATTAGGTTCATTCTTAAGCTCCATAATATTAAATATTTTAATGTGCATTCTCGTATGCTCGATATGTGATCATCTCGGTTTACTCCTTTGTGTCCGCCTTTCTATCCTGATTCTGTTTTGGTGGTATGTCTTAGTGGCCATTGTTTGTATGTATCAAATCCCTTACCAGTTCTATTAATGTATACGGAATCCTTTTTGGATCAGTTGGAACTGTAAGATTGATAGGTAGGGGGAACACGGAATTTGTCTAGCGAGCTTTGTGTTTCTTGCCTCGATATCTCTCACCTATGCTGACTCCCAGTTATCTACAAAATTGGATGTTTGAGGTGTGTTTACTTAGATTTTTGTTTCTTTATGAGATGTGAAGTGATTGTTTCTCCTCATGTTCTAGCCAGTAATTGTAGCGTATAATTGTATATATAACTTGATTCTCCATGTTAATTTTAGGATGATTTTGTACATAGGTATTTAATAAGATTGGTGGGTGCGGGTGTGTATAATGTTATTGTCTAATATCAAATAATACTTGCGTCTCAAGTGGGTGGGAATAATGCGTGAGTAGAAGCTTGAGATGGACTGTCTTATGTTCGAAGGAGTGTATATGGAGATGGAATAAGTGTGTTCAAATTTTTTGTTGTGCGTCTCTTATACTGTCAAGTACCTTCAACCTTCACAAAACCTTGTTTAGTTCAATGCCTAATTGTGTGTCTAAAGCTTCTATACATATACTAGAGTTATACTGCTTCATAAACCTTACCTAGATATCGCCATCACCGAGCGCTAATGTGGCAGAATTACTCACTTCCTAGATATGTTTTGGGCTGAGAGCGTGGTTAGAGTGACACATGTTATGTTCTGAATAGCGTGGAATGTGAGACCGGCTAGTCCTCTAATAGAACGATTAGGTATGACGATGTATTGACATGTAGCGTAGTGATAACTTGAGGCCACCATATAATTAGTAATTGATAGCAACTTGGGAAACGAGCTAGCGCTCGATATTTATATGAGGCAACGGTAACGGAAATCCAAGAAGAAATTGGACTTTTCTTATTTTGGAAAGTGTTTTGACTTTTCTGGAATCTCGATCACTATTAACATCCCTATTTTAGAAGTTTTGCTGATTGAACGGTATGGAGTGATGATGAGAGCTAGATTTTGATGTCTGCGCTGGATGGCCACGAGGTGAGTTGGACAACCTTGGTGGGCTCATTTTTTGGTTGCCATCTCGGTTTGGAGTGGTTTTTGCTATCCTCAACTTGATGGCCCCTTCCCTCATCTTAGTCTGTTCCCGGTCTTTGGTAATCCAGATTTCATAATCTGTTGTGTGCCTAATCCAAGTCTCTATTTGTCTCTGCTAATTGTTTTCTTTATTTTTCATTTATTGTATTCTATTGATTGTGGCCTCTAAGTTATGTGATTCTATGCTATATATTCTTATCTTTTATAAATGGATTTACTTATGTAAGCTCTGCAGTTTACACAACACCAAACTAATTCCAAATATAATTTAAGCATAAATAATAGGTTAACTAAAAAATTAATATATCTTATGATTCAATAAACATACCCGACAATTATGTTCAATATATTATGTCTAATTTCCCTATTTGAACAAGCCAACTTATGATTGGGCTATTATTTTCTCTTTGCCAAAACATAATGTACGAATCTTAATTGGCAAAAATGCATTCATCTTACTGCCGAAACTTCTATGACAAGCCTATAAATCACTCTGTAGGCCATCATATGACGAGCGTTAACTACTTGTGATTAATAGTTTTGTATACGAGTGAAAGAGTTTTTATTTGATTAAATTATATCTGATTAAATTTTTTTAATGATAAATCTTATGTTCCATGATATATTTTATCTAGGTTGAATAACTTAGGTCATTTTAAGTCTAGATTAAAGTTTTAGGTTGAATTATTTTTTAGTGAATTAAATTTTTTTAAAAAAGTTCAAATTATGAATCTATTTTCTATTATTAAAATGTGGCTATATAATGCTAAATTTATTATTATTATTATTATTAAATTTTTAAATAATGGATATTATTACACAAAATTTGAATATGAACAATTTGAAATTTGACTAATTGGACCAAGACTTCATTTGGGATAGCTTTCTTACAGCCTTGCTTTACAAACTACAATTATAATTTCAATTTAGCCTTTGTTTTTTCATTTCTTTCAAAAAAAAAAAATTGTATTAGAAAGCTACTTTCTACAACTTTAAAAAACTACTTTACCTATAACAATTTTACAAAGCAGTAAGATAATTGTCTCACACTAAGGCCTAGTTTGATTAGGCTTTTTTTTTCTCCGTTTCCGTTTGAATACGCCGAAATCAATTAGTATTTACTGTTTGGAATCCAAGCTTAACAATAATTCCTTTTTAATAAACATCATTTTTTCGGCGGTTACAAAATTCTTTTCGTATCTGCTTCTTCGGTCACAAAAGGAGTTTCGGAAGCGAATTATGTCTTTTATAATAAAATCTTAAAAGTAGAACTCCTAAACAAACAATTTAAAATTACTTTCAAGTATTAATAAGCACTTTTAAAATCGTTTGAGACGGCTTTTTTACTGCTTTCTAAAACAGAGTTTTAGTACAAATTTTTTTATTTTTGTACTAAAACTCCGTTTTAGAAAGCAATAAAAAAGCCGTCCCAAACGAAGCCTAAGTCTAAGGGTCCGTTTTGGGCATTTGTAAGTTTTTATAAAATCGATACTTTAAAAGTTAATGTAGAAAGCCACTTTTTAGCATAATAATTTATTAAAAGTTGTCAAAAATAATGATAAAATAAAAATAATGATTATAGTCCGAAAAGTAAACAAATAATAAAGATGTTGAAATGAAACTTAATAAGTAATAATAATAAGATCTGTAAAAACAAAAAAAATCTGTAGATTGACTAAAAAATAATATAATTTATGATCAAACATATGACTTTATGTCAAATTATCTACATTTAATATTTGAACAAGCCAACTTATATTGGTATTTATTTTCTCTTTGTCAAAAATAATGTTGTGCTATGTAAATAATTATAATAATGCCTAACTGTTCATTATATGATGTAAATGACTATTATAACATCCTAAATCACGTGATACTCTTATTTTGACGATTAATTATTCTGTGTGGATGTTGAATGTTTTCCGGAAATCAATCAGAATGAGCGATGTCACCCCTTGCTCGGTAGCGCGGCTTGATAATGCTTGGTACTACACAGTACAACGGCTCGGTACGTTAGATTTCTTTTTAAAAGGAGAAATATTAGGCTTCATTTGAGACACCATAAAATCTCTCTTCATTTGACTCAAATACTTTCAAATCCCTCTTAAGTCATGACCAAATCAATTCAAAATCATATTTACTAACACATCTCTATTTGAATATGTTGATAGGATGTTCTATTACTTTAAATGAGCAAAATTTCTCTATGCAAGCTTATTTACTTTTCTTTGAGAGATTTTATGGTGCTGCATGCAACTTCAAAGAAATATTTATGATTCATAAATTACATTGGACTATTGGTTGCAAGCAACATACATGAAGATAGTACATTTGGAAATTATGGTGGATGTACTAAACCTTCAGCTTTGATGATGCATCAGCCATTCATTATGGCGAGCCATATTTTAATGGCTGTCAGCTCTGTTCACCTTTCAATGCAATTATCTTTAGCAGAAAATTAGTCTGTACTTATTTTTTTGTTTTGTTTATAAGATTGGCATACTTGACGATCTGTTTCATTTAATTCCTATTGACATTTGGGTGTTTTTTTTTTCCAGTTGAGTAATGCTTTATTTCTTTTGAAAGAATTTTGAAATTTTTAATTTTATGTATTTATAGATTTTTATTTTTTTGTTGTTGTTTCATAGATGGCTTAAACTAGAAAAAAATAAGAATTATATGTATTCAGATGTGCTTATCTGAAAATCTATTTAAAGTTTTTTATTTTTTTTAAGGGGCGAATGAGTCTATTGTTCAAAACTATGGTAACATAAAAAGGAATATTATAGTAAATGTTGTAGAGATGAGAATACTCAGATTGATGAGTGACTTTATACTTAGAGACATAATACGAAACGAAATGATGTGGCCACATAAAATATCAATCTTTTGATGGAAAGATTATTCTGTGTGGACACCAAACGGTCATGAGAACAATCAAAATGCACCACATCACCTGATATATAGCGGTACACTGAGCAAAAAAGTTATGTGACACGTTCTGAATGGTCTACGGATGTTGTCCGGTGTCTGCACATAATAATCTTTATTTTTTATGACCAATTAAGAGAATAGATATATTAGATCAAACCTATATTAAGATTGGTATAGATAGACATAATTTTTTGGTTATAAATTATTAGAAATAAATTTTTTTATTAAATTTGAATAAGAATTTGACTCTTTAATAGGACATAATGGGAAAAAGAAATTTATATAATCAAAAGATTAAATTTATTATTTTCAAGATTTAATAATTTGACTTTTTGCAAGGAAATAGAGTTTTTTTTTATTTAATATAGCCAAACAAATACATTAGCAAATTTGCAAATATTCAAACGAATCCCACATTCAATCTATTATGACATGTGGAATTGGGCATAAATAGCCCAACTCGTTCTTTCAACATTAAAATGATTTCATATTTATTTTGCCCATTTTGCATCAATTGGGGTAAAAGAAAGAAAGAATGAAAATCTAAACGCTTAAATCAGTCCCAATTCGTTAATTATGAAGTCATAATTGTTTGGATTTCGCTATATTTCATCCAGTTTTCCTCTAAACAGAGCCTTTGAATCAAGAGGCTACCCTTAGAAATTATTTAATTTTGATATATTTCTGATTACTTTAATTTTAATTTTTTAAATATAGCCATTTTATATATTTTATCTCATACTTTTAATTACAAATTACTTTTAAAATAATTAAAACTGCCATGATGGCAGCAAGGAGAGAATAATACATACAGAGTCCGAGCATAGAGAACCGCTCGGTTTTATGACTGTGAACCGTAAAAGCTCAGTTATTATTCATCACTGCGGTTTTGTTGTTCACTGCTACGCTTTTACAGTTCACAATCACAAAACCGAATGGTTCTCTATGTCCGAACTCCGCATGTAATAATCTCTCATGCAGCAAGGGGATGCGATGGCAAGAGAAACACATCATTTGCTAGCTATGGAGGATGAGCGTGGCAACATACACATTTGAAGATTTTAGTTGAGCAAAGAAATGCATTATGCAAAGGGTTATGAATCATGTATGAGAAGGAATTGCGATAACAAAATTATGAAAGTTGAAAAAAAAGGGAAGAATGAAAATAAATTGGAGGGAAGAACAGAATAAAAAGAATGATAGAGGAGAAAGATAAGAGATAGAGAAAGAGAATTAGATATTAGAGAAAATCAATATCCAATTCAATAAGAATCAACATCAATGCTTCAACATGATATTAGAACCTTTTATATAGACCAATGACTTGATAGACATATCTAAAATAGGACATGATTAATACAAAAGAAAAGTATCCTTATTATAAATTATAAAATAAATAAAGCATGTTCAAATTAAATAGAAAGATGCATGTTATAAGTTAAATGGAAGAGGCATCAGACGGCCATAATTATCCTGCATCAATAGAAAAGTATAAGGTTAGATGTTTCAACAGTCAGGATAGATTGATACATTTAAAAAGATGGTTCATATATTATGCTTGATAAGCTAGAGATGGGAAGGCAGACGGTTCGGTAAGCCAGAGCTGGGCAGGCAGGTTGACAAGAGGCCCGTTTGTAAAACAAAAAAATTTATTTTGTTAATAGGCTCGAGCTTGTTAATAAGCCGTTCATTAATATGCTTGATAAGCCTAAATGAACCGAGCTCAAATATGAACTCGAGCTAAGCTCGAACAGAGGAATTTTATATAAGCTCGAGCTCGAATAGGCATAAAATAAGCTTGAATATTATTGAGCCGAGCTCAAACATGATCTTTACAAACGAGCCTGAGCTTGAACATGCTGAAGTTCAGCTCGGCTCAGTTGCAACCCTGCTCTCCATACTATAAAAGGTTACGACCTTTAAATGAAAGAATTTTAGTACATTCTATTACATCTTTATTGCCATAAATGATAGATAGAGAAGCGCATACTATCGAGTTTCTTCGTGTAACAGATTACGAACTGACGGAACCCTTCCCAATATATGTAGAACTACTAAAAAAATGATCGCAGAATACAGAAAAAGGGCCAATTTTCTTACCAGGATAGATTCAAAGTTCTTTCTCAATTGCTTGTCCTTGACCTGCCAATGGAAATCACAAAGTTAGAGCTCTAAGGTCCAAAAGATACATATTTAGATTTGGAAAGTAATTAGAGTATAGGAATTAAAGTAGCATATGACTATCAAATCTTTCAAACAGAATCTTGAAAACTATGAGGGTACTAAGTAATTACGAAAGAACTATGGGGAGTGTTATTGATGATACAGCCAGAGTAAACATCATACTTTATCAACTATAAATCATCAAACAATGGATCATACTATAATTAATCAAACCCTTCTATGAACCCATTTTATCCCTCACACCTCATGCACACACGGTTCTCTCGACATCATGGTATATCCAAACGCCTCTCCTCTCCCATGCACTCCCTTCTTCGCTCCTTAGGCATGTCGGCGCTTCCTTCCAAGCTGCCACCGCCGCCTCCATTGCCTCCTTGCCAAGTTTCCTTCCTCTACAAAGAGTGGGGAGAGATGCTTTTACGTTAAACTTATTTTGACTTGTTATGTTATTAGTTTTTACTTCGGTATCTTATCTTGCTTTGATGTTTGTATAACACTTCTTACTTCATGATTTGATGTTAGGATATTAATATGCTAGTTGTTACTTTGCACAGTTTATTATTTCTTATCATGTTAGGATGCTAATATATTACTTCTTAATATGCTAATAGGTTAGACAGTTAATATAGTACTTCTCACTTCATACTTTGATGCCAGTTAAATATTTTTTTTACTTTGCATAGTTTGTTAATTCTAAGGTTTTCGCTTTCACCTCATGAATGAAAATATCTAAACCCAATGCACAATTTAAAATCTAGCTAAACAATATCATTCTTTGCCTAACTTTTACTTGTACATCAACTCCATTAGTATAATCAGTAAATCACGTATATTTCAATGAATGGTGCAATAAAATAAAATACATGTACAGGTGATGGAATGAAATACAGAACTAGCTAATTAATAGCCTAAATAATTTCAAAATGAGGCAAACAAGCAATTTTAATAATGGAAATTTATGCAGGATGACTTGAGTTGAGGTTTCCTAATTTAACATTTTAACTAAAATGATGTGATGTAACCAATTTCAGCAGGGGAACTTAGTATTTGCAGGTCGTAAACCACAAAATAAGTCAACTTACTTTTTAAATACAAATAATAAATATGTGAAATAGAACTAAAAACAATGATGTTATGATTGAATAAATTTGAAGAAACTAATGAGAAATTCGAACTACCCAAAATCTACAAGCAATTTTAATTTAATCACCACAAATAGAATTTTGGTTGTGCCAAATTTGAAAAAAAAAAGAGCACTAGAAAGCTAATATAAATTATGTAGAAGAAATCAAATCAAAGAAATAAATTAATAAATAAATAAATTTAGGCAACATATCGATATAAGGATCGAATTCTCTCGAAATTAGACAGTTGCACCTGTACTATGCTTGAAAAGTTACACGCCTAACATGCACATACAAAATTAAAATCAAGAAGAAAAAAAATTATTCAATCAACTTTGTCAAATTATATGCCTCAAAACATCAATTTATAGTTAAGGCATCAAATAACCAAACTAAATCAAACTTATTTCAAACCATATGGATTACCATATCATTAGAAAACAAATACATCCTTTCTCAAGTCCAACATTGCAGGCATATTCTAATTATAAACTTGCACATATTATTACTTGATCTAATATTTTCAAAAAGAATAACATGTAGATTCCCATAAAATTTGTCTGACTTCAACAAATGACTTCGATGGATGTTCATCGAGCAAATGAAGACAATTTTTTGCTTCCTACAAAGTAATCAATGAGTCATCACAAACAAAGTCCATTTCTCTAGAGAACAAGGTATTTTAGAAATTCATAATCAATATTATATATAATATCATCATCTAGAATAGACTCTAAAACAAACTATATGGAATTAGCTGGCAGAGGACTAGGTGTGGATTCACGAGGACGTCAAAAGAAAGAAGAATCCAAATAATTGATAAGAATCTCATGAAATAACTAAAAAGTAGACACATTGAAAATTAAATTAATATTATAATTTTTCAGAATTTCTAATATATGGGGCAAGATCTATAGACTTTCTAGGTTAAAAACCTCCAAAAATGTCAAAATTTTGTACTAGTATACATATTCACATATGAGTTTGTGTGAATTCAGCCATAAATAGTATCAAATTCCGCCTAGGTCCATGATCTTTTATGAAGCAACATAACAAATCTCTCAAAGCACTTTAATCTTTACAAGTGGCATACTCTTTTTTTATATAATCAAAACTAATCACCTTAATCTATGTTTTAAGTTAAACAATGAAAATTCTACTTAAAAAATCAATAGGCTTATTCTCAACTCCAATATAACATTTAAGGATAAAAGAATATTCCTAAAAAAACGCAACACACTTAAATCTGTCTGTATCCCAACAACATTTGGGAACTCAATTTTTCAAAGCTTGATAATCGAAATACAGTACAAACTCAATAAATAAAAGACAATTGTCTCCAACATAACAACATAAAACTTCGAATATGGTTTTGTTTATTTAATTTCTCAATAAAGAATATTATGACTAATGAGATGTATTTCCTAACTAAATAGACCTCTAATGTTAACACCAGACTGATGCGTCTTGGATACAAAAACAACAAACAACAGCAGGAAATCCACAGAAAAAAAGCCAAAAATAATAGATTTAGGGGGAATAATGGCTGATTTTTATTAAGAACACGATAAAAAAAAACAAAGAAGAGAGCCAACTGCGTGGAGAGGAATTTCACAGTGAATGTGTTGAGAGAGGAGAAGGACTATGTCTGGAAGGGAAAGCCCTCGCCTAGTTCCAATGGAGGGAAGCTAGATATCAGATCCATTCGTGGGAGGAGTTTAAGGATTGCTTGTTAGAATGTTTCCAAACCATTCATGAAGGAGACATATACGAGCAATTCCTTGCTTTGACTCAGGACGGGATCATCATGAAATATAGGGAGAGATATGAGTTGCTATCGGGGTGGTTGAGGGGAGTATCAGAGACAGTGTTGGAGGAAAATTTTATTAAGCACCTTAAACCTGACATACGAGTGGACCTCCTATTAATAAGACTGAGGGGGTTGAAGGAGCTGATGGAGTTAGCCCAGATAAAGGAAGATGGGAGACAATTCTCATCCTTCCACCTAGGGAAAAATGTGCATTTTTTTTGGAGGGAGTATTGTTACAACATAAGGGAGCTAGATGGAATAAAAAAGTGAGACAAGGGAAGGGTTCGGCCAGCTTTGTGGGGCCCAAGAGCGCTGTAATGGATTATGGAAGGAGGAGAAATCAAGGAGAGCTATTTAGGAAGGTTTCCTAATTATGTTTATAGTGTTAAGGAAAATTTTAATTGTTTAGGAATGTTTCTTAAATTATGTTTATGCTGTTTAAGAAGGTTGTCATGCATTATGGAAGGAGGAGAAATCAAGGGGAGCTGTTTAGGAAGGTTTCCTAATTATGTTTATGATTTTTAGAAAAGATTTAATTGTTTAGGAATATTTCCTAAATTATGTTTATGCTATTTAGGAATGTTTTATTTGTGTTATTGTGTGTTATGTCTATTTAAAAGAATGTTTTGTCTAGGCTAAGGGAGGAGATAATTTATGTTTTATGTATATTTATTTTGGAGAGCTTCCTATCGATGGCTAGGGTTTGTGGGAGATAATCAAAATTCAGCCCAAATTTTTGGATTGCCTCTAGAATAGTAGATCAATTGTATATTTCTTTCTTATTGAAGAGATAATAAAAATCCAGCCCAAATTTTTGGATTGCTGCATTTTTCTTATTGCCTACTTGCTGTTTTTAAATCCAAGATGCATCACCTACATGATATTATTTTAAACACAGACTTATCTCTAGAAGTAATATCCACATCTATATCCCCATTTGCCTATAGAACAACTCCAAGATATTTAAAGCTATCATACTTAGGTATTATTTCCATCTTTTAATAATACTTGACAATTTTTAATGTTACATGCACTAAAATTATATATCAGGCCTTTTATCTTCTAATCATTTTCTTCAATGCACAAACTTTTCACTGATTTTAACATATCTCAGCAATTAAAACTATGTCATTTACATAGAACAAATTATAAGGCATCTCATTTTGAATATCATTTATAAGCAGCTCCAAAAGCAATAAAAAATGGACTCAATATTGATCCTCAATTAAGTAGTTTTTCCTTGAAGAGTTAGTTCATTTATATGTGTCTTAATATATAAATGCTTCCAAAATATATCATATATCTGAAAATACACCTTAACAACAAGATGAACATTCTTGTTACTTGACAGTTCTATGGTACTTGATTTTATCATGGATTTTCAAGCGATACACATTGATTTAAAGATGAATTTCATAAAAGCTACACTGAGGCCAATTATGCTATATGGATCTACGAAGAATGTATAGTGAGAAAGGATAGACTGAAAATTGTTTCTATTAAAACCTAATGGGAGTAGCAAATATTAAGGATTAGCAGAAGACAAACTTCATTGGCGAGGTATGCATGACAAAGGTAACAATTAGTGAAGAAACTTGATGTAAAAATATCATTAAGGGAGCAAATTGAAAATAACATCGCTAAGGATTATTTTACTTCAAAACATCTGATAAGTATCATCACTACTTAGTTTCACTTTTTCCCTTATTATATGTAGAGAATGAGAAGAATTCAAACCTATAATGAAAAGCAATGCATACATTCAAATATAATAACAAATTCTCCTGTAGAAAATAAGTGTTGAAGAAATGTTTCCATGCAGTAGATTTTGGATAACTTCTATCAACACGATGTAACCGGTGCTTCACATTTAAAATTAGACAAATGTGTTAAAGAAACATAAAATAATTTAATATTCAATAAATGTGTTAAAGAAACATATAAATCAACTTATTCAATATTCATAAAAGTGAAAACAACATATATTTAAAATATCAAGCATGTTTTATATAATTCAATATATAAACAAAATAAAATTAAAAGTAAAAGTAAGAACAAAAATGATCCCAAATGACCCCTAAAAACTTAATGCGCAAAGAAGTGCCATCAAAAGTATAAGATCAGGCTGTCCTGAATGGAAAAATATAGAAGTGAATGTCACATATTACAAATAAAAAATGGTCAGGCAGGGAAAACATCAACATTCATTATACTCTGCTACAATTTACCTTGAAACTCAGACTTGAATCCACAAGCCGTTAAGTGGTTTGCAAGTTTCTCCCCCAGCAGCTGCTGCCAGTTTTCTGAATCCTTAGCTTCAGGTACAGTCGAAACAACCGCAATCTCTTTCTCAAGGTATACAGTAGCTGAAGCCACCTGAGGCTGCAAGGAAACCTACGTGTCATATCTCAGAGCCAACATAAGAACAACAATAACAAAGAAAAACAATCAACTTTCCACCATAGTCAGTAAATTACGAAATATAATAGGTAGTTATATTATCATTTATAGCTAATGCAATGTATTATGAATATACTAAATCGATCAGAATAGAAACTATAAATCAAGTTAGATCAAGACGAAGAAAGATTACAATCCAAGCTAAATTAGAAAATGCAAATAAAAGTGGCATAACTAAATGCTTATCTCCCACCATTCTACAATCCCCTAAAAAGGCGAAACAAATCTCTTACTTGACTTTCCAAGATGCGCTTCACACTCGCAGCACACCCTCCACATGTCATTCCCTAAGCATTAAAACAAATCGTAAACAAAGCAAATAAATTATTTTTCTACAAGAAACCCAAGTAATTATGACTTACTCCAACACTAAGAAATATAACATCCGATTCTAGAGCAGGATCCTCTTCCGTCTCCCCTACGAGTGATCCCGTCGCCGCCACCTGGCCACTTGATCCACCATCACCTCCTCCACCGCCGGAGCCTCCGGCAAGTCCATCCCTACCGCCGCCGCCAGAGCCGGATAAAGCTGCGGAGCTCGAAATACTCGCCAACAAGCGGGGCGAAGGCATTATGAGAGATGAATACCATGGAAAGCTTCGAGAGAAGGAGACCGAGATAGAATCCGATACTCTGTGGTGGAAGGAACCGGCGAAGGAGGAGGCCTTCGACGCGGCGGAAGCCCTGCCCACGGATAATTGGACAGGGCGCGAGCTCGGGAAAAGATTTAGGGTTCCGGAGGTAGTAAGTAGGGGCATCGTAAGAAGAGTACAGGATTCGAAGTTCTTTCTTGTTCTCCTCTCCCCTTCAGATGCTTCTCTTCACAGGAAGAGAGGAACAGGATGGCGGACAACACAAGTTGAAGTCGGGTTCTTCCAGAAGAGGTAGTAGGTGGGGAATTGGCAGCTCCGTAGTCCGAGAAATTTTTTTTACTAAAAACATAAAAAAAAAATAAAATTTTAGGGGGGTTATGCACGTTATTTATTAAGATAATGAAAATAAAGATAAGATTAAACATATTTAAGAAAAATAAGAAAACTTTTAAATTTTGAACACTAGAAACCAAGCTTCCAAAGCTAAATTAAGGCTTCGTCTAGGACGGCTTTCTTACTACTTTATAAAATAGCTTAAATATACAAAAAAAATTAATTTTTATACTAAAAAATTTATTTAAGAAGCAATAAAAAGCTGTCCAAGACCAAACAAAAATAAAAAAGAAGATTAAAAAAAGCAATCTACGAAAAGAAAAAAAAAACAAGTCTTCTAAGTCTCAAATAATATGCTAAGCCAATAAACAACTAAGATATCCATCCAGCCCAGAAGGATCCAAAGTACACTGCTAGGGTTGCAAATAAACTTAGTATTTGACGAGCTACTCGTGGATCGGCTCGATAAGTGCTTATTCATGTTCGTTTGATAAGTTAAACGAACGAGTTTGAACACTTTTGATAAATATTTGATAGTTAAATAAACGAGTTTGAAAAACTTGGCGTTCGTTTATTTATGTTCATAAACAGTATCATTTAACGCTTGTGAACAAGCTCGTTAAGAAGTTTAATTAGAGCTTGACTAAGAAGCTCGATTAGAGCTATATTAGAGTTTTAAAAAAATATATATTATTAAATTTAATAATTAATTTTTACTAATTCCATCTACTATCATTTAATAATTTATTTTTACTTCCCGCATCCACCTAAAATCAAGAACAACCCGCTCTTTGAATAAATATAAGATGAATCATAGATCGTTTGTTCGTAAACAAGCTCATTTGGTAGCTCAAAAACACTAATTAGATATGTACATGAACGATTTCATTTGATAGCTCATGAATACTCATTAGATATATTCGTGAATGAGTTTATTTGATGGTTTAAAAAACTTTGCTATATATATTCATGAACAAGCTCAATGTAATTATTTAAAAACAGTTCAAGATATTATCATTATTTTTTAATTAAAATACACTTTAAAATTTTAAATTTGTTTGAGATAAATATAATACATATTATTTATATATTACACATTTACACTCATCACAAAACAAATAAAAAAACTCTAATGCTGATTCTGATTTTTTTTTTTTTTGAATATCTTATTAAAAAAAATTCGTTTTTATAAATAACTTTCAATCTAGTTGATAATTATCCCTATGGAGCTTTTCTATTAAATAAACTAGCCAATTTTGAATAAAATATTTCAGCTCAACTATTAAATAAATCAAATATAAATAAGAAATTACTCATTTATTAATTATAGCTATGGGTTGATTTACTAAACCCGAACCCAACCTGTATGTCAAGCTGGTTGACTCGAGCCTGAAATTTTTTGGGCTAGGTCCAGTTCAGGTTTCGGATCGTGTCAAATATTGGAATTTTTATTAGGTCCGGACACCTGACGTAGCTCTATATCCGGACGCCAATAACATTTCACCACATGCTCTTACTCTTTACTGTGCGGTCTGACGACCTGACTCGGACTGGAACCCGGTATTGCTATATTGCTAGGTATTGCTCGGTATTGCTAGGTATTGCTTGGCAATAATAAGAAATATCACTATGTCAAGATCAATACCGAGCAATAGCTAACAATACCGAACAATACCTAGCAAATTAAATCGAGGTATTGCTTAGTACTGCTAGGTACCGGTTTTGCTCGGTATTGCTAGGTATTGATCTTGACATAATGGTATTTCTCGTTACCGAGCAATACCTAATAATACCCTGGTCTGCACAAATCATCTATTACATAGTAATATCGGGTTCTGGTCCGGGCCGGGTCGTCGGGCCACGCGGTAAAAAGTAAGAGCACGTGACGATATTTTATTGGCGTCCGGATGTAAAGCTACGTCAAGTGTCCGGACCTAATAAAAATTCCAAATATTGACACCCTTACCCACGATCTCAAGGTTAACAGCTTGTACTCTAGCGACTAAGCTAGATGGGCTCAGAGATTAAGAACGAATCTATAATTATTTGAATTTGGTCGTACCAATGAAGATTGACTAGCGCCATCTTCTCTTGCAAGATATCCTAGGGGCCTAACCCATATATAAAGGAAAAATTTTAAGACTAAGCATGATTATAAATTATATTAAGAGCATAAGCATGTTTTTAAAAAAATTTAAAAATAGGCAAAGTTGCCCATTAAACGGGCAACTTACTAGTCTAGTTAGCATTCCAAAAAATTAAAAAATAAAATAAAATTACTGTATTAACAATATTATTTTTAGATTAAATTATTTCAAATTTTTTTAATTTTTAATTTCTCAATATTATGAACAAATAAAAATTTGTTATATTAACATAAGTTTGCTCATTTTTTCCACCGCTCATCTTAGCACGTTCAAAAAAAATTAATATAAATTTTTTTTAATTTTGAATTTTAACGATATTTTTAAAGATTTAAATTAAATAAATTTACTAGCATTCATAAAGTTAATTACTTTAATTGATGAAAATATTTAAAATATTTTTAATATTTTATTTACTTAAAATTTATATATTTCTAATGCAGATAATTCTAAAAAAAAAAAATAAATAAATAAATATTTGTTTGAAGAGAAAAGTAAGAAGAAAAGACTATTGGCCATGTATGCATTTCATCTTAGAGAACTTCATGAGTTCCGCTTCTTTTTTTTTTTTAGATAACATGCTCAAGCACGAAAGAATATATTAAATGTCTTTCTATTTTTTTTGTGGACGTGCTACGATTGGCGGTGGATAAAATGTGCAAACTTATGTTAATATAATATATTTTTATTTGTCCGTATTAGTGAGAAATTAAAAATTAAAAAAATTCTGAAATAATTTAATTTAAAAATAATATTGCATTGTAGCAAGTCGTCCGTTTAACTGGCGACTTGCTACAGTAATTTTATTTATTTTTAATTTTTTTTGAATGCTGACTGGACAAGTAAGTTGCCCATTTAATAGACGATTTTGCCTATTTCTTATTTTTTAAAAATATGTTTAAGCTCTTAATACAATTTATAATCATACTTAGTCTTAAAATGTTCCCATATATAAATGATATGTAAACATTTGAATTATTGATTGAATAGTGATGAAATTTAAGAGGAGAGGGACCGAGAAAATTCTTTTATATCAATAATATTCTTGTTACATGTTAGAAAATATACTATGATAGATTGCATATTTATCATCTTAGTTTTCTATAAATAGATATCACATATAAATAGAAGTTGTGAGAGATTATAAATTATGTACCAATAAGAAAAAAAATTATGGGACTTGATCTAGTTGAATGAATACACTAAATAGTGGAAGATATAAAGATCCTTCATTTTTCACAATTGAAGAAGATGTAATTATACATAGTCAAGAATAATTATTTGATACCCATTGAAGGGATTACAGATATCGAGTATTCATATGTAGACTGTAAAAGCCTGACAACATGGCTAAATATTGATAATCAAACAATAATAATCAGATTACGAAATTTGACGATAATAGCACCAATTGTTGAGGGTGGTTGTCAATGGTGATTGCCAGAAAATGCAACAGATTTCTTTGGCTATCTTATCTCTCAAACCTCTCTTTAGGTAGAAAAAGGTGGTATATTTGTAATATGAAAATTTTGATAAATTAAGCCAAAAATCAAAATGATTAGTCATATTGTCCATCTTGTTCATATTGATCTTATATTATTTATCCTACATTTAAGTGCATTATTGCTCTTACTATCAAATGATATTGGCCTCATTGAATTATCTCATCGAGACACTCGATTTGACTATAAGCATATAAGATTTAGAGGCTTTTTTATCGTTTAATTACTGCATGTAGACATTTTAAACATGTTTCAAATGCATTATTTAGATTCATTTGGACTCACATCGAATCATTATGGTGTTGATGGCTTCCCCTCATCGTGATGTTCCATTTGATTATTAATGTGTTGAAATCAAAGCTGAGATGATTTTAAATTTATATGTAAAAGTTTTTTTATTCAAATATCATTTTGATATCGTTGGCGGACAAATCTGATTAAAAAATGTCATTTGGGAAATCAATTCTTAGGATTAAAATGTAAACAGAATGTTGATAAAAAAAAATTAAAAAAAAAAAATTCAAAAAACTTGTGGTGCTCCGATGGCACCATGGCTTAAAAGGACCATTTCCCCGCCTCAAGAGCCCAATCACGTACGTACATCCTTATCTTTAACATTTTTAAATTATAAACCTAACCGAATTGAAAATTATATAGAAAAAGTTCATTAAAAAAAAAAGTTAAAATATATTATAATATGTTCTAAATCTGTTGGCACGGTCCGCATATGAGAATAATTTATCGTTGGCTGGCCATATAAATATTTCTGTTGAAATCTTGAAAGCCTTTCAATTAAAAAAATAATATCATAATGGATTTTTAATTAAAATAAGTTGTTTGAACGGGCAGGATGAAGTTCTTTTGAATTTCCAACATATCAATATGATTAGATGGAAATTCATTTTATTGCTTTTTTTAACTATAAAAATCTATATTTTAACTAATGTTAAGATTAAGATTAATATAAAGATTAAAAGTTCTTAGACATAGTGAATTATAAAATCACGAACCGGTCATATGAAAATAGTGCCATAAAAACTTTCAATATATTGGATAAATCATAGAAGTTTTCATTAATATCTGGTCTCTTATCTACTTCTCCGTAAAAAAGAAACCTCTCAAATTATTCTATACGGACACCAAATGACATCCAGAGATCAATAAAATGAATCAAGTCATTCTTTTATTGTACCACGACTCAGTACTTCTCGGTACCGATACTGACTCACCATTTTGTAGAGTTGCGTCCGGTGTCCGCATAGAATAATTTCTCCTCAAAATCATCCCACTTAGGAAAAATATAAAATAATTATTTAGTACTTTTAATTGATTTTTATTAGGAGCTTTGTATCTAATTTTTTATCCAAAGAAATGAAAAAATAGTATCAAGAATGCACACATAATATTTAATTTTGAAATAAAAAAATTTATGAACTCGGTTATTCGCCAAATAAATGATTTTATAAAGAATAATAATAATCTGAGTAAATAATTATATAATTTTACAAACAATATGAATAAGGGCGGATCTAGACTTAATTTTCAGTTGAGACAAACTTATAAGTAAAAGTGAATAGTTTTTTTTTTCATAAATATCCTTGCAATCAAAATTTGTTCCGAGTGCGCTGCCTCTCGACCCCTATTTGTTTATCATTGTACGCTTCGAAGATATGCCAGGGTTTCCGGGGGCAGCACCCATGGAATAAATTTTGATTGTAAGTATATTTTTGGATGCTCTTTACTATTTCTCTTTGTATTTGGCTCATCATTCCCTAACAATAACGTCTCTACACAATTTGTTTAATTATGTTGAGGCAATTGCCTAAAAACCATAATATTTTAAAACTTTTTAAGGAGAGCAATTTACTAAAAATCCTTATAGTAAAGACTAAAAAATACATGAAGAAGAATTAATTGCCTAAAGAATCATATAACAAAGATGGCCTTAAGCTGAATCCGTCCATGATTATAATAGGACAAATGAATTAGGAGGATTAATTAGTAAATAAAGTGCTATTAAAAAATAGAAGTACTCGTACGGCACGTTCCCAAAGAACGCCAATCACGTACGTACGGGCTCTGCTCCCCGACCGTACCTTAAAAACACATTAATTTAATTGAGCTTCATACTATATATATACACACAATACCCCTCGACATTTTAAGTAACCAAGTACTCATACAGAGATCCTAACATTGCCCTTTAAGTGTTCGACACAATGGATTCAAGAAGTAGCACTTGGCTTGCCATCTTCCTTCTTGGCCTCCTGAGCTGGGCTTCCCAGCTGACCCTCTCTCGCCCCATCAGCCTCCCCATGGAGGTTCGATACCAGCAGTGGATGGCTCAGTACGGGCGCGTCTACAAGGATCCTGTAGAGAAAGCCCGTCGCTTCAAAATCTTCAAGGCCAACGCGGAGTACATCGACTCTGCCAACGCAAATGCCGGCCGCAAGTACAGGCTCGCCCTCAACCAATTCGCTGACTTCACCAATGATGAGTTCAGTTCTTCACGCAATGGTTTTTTAGACCTCTCGTTTATAGGCAACGCTGAATCTACCTCGGAGTTCCGTTATGGAAACGTGAAGGACGTGCCGGAAGCTGTGGATTGGAGGAGCCAAGGGGCTGTCACTCCCGTCAAGGATCAAGGCCATTGCGGTACAAAAAAATCACAATCAATTAATTAAAAAAAAAAAAATTTAGAGGCATTTTGATCGTTTAATTACTGTACGTAGACATTTTAAACATGTTTCAAATGCTTTATTTAGATTCGTTTGGACTCAAATCGAATCATTATGATGTTGACGGCTTCCCCTCATTGTGATGTTCAATTTGATTATTAATGTGTTGAAATCAAAGCTGAGATTATTTTAAATTTATATGTAAAAGTTTTTTTATTCAAATATCATTTTGATATCGTTGGCGGACAAATCTGATTAAAAAATGTCATTTGGGAAATCAATTCTTAGGATTAAAATGTAAACAGAATGTTGATAAAAAAAAATTAAAATAAAAAATTCAAAAAACTTGTGGTGCTCCGATGGCACCATGGCTTAAAAGGACCATTTCCCCGCCTCAAGAGCCCAATCACGTACGTACATCCTTATCATTAACATTTTTAATTTATAAACCTAACCGAATTGAAAATTATATAGAAAAAGTTCATTAAAAAAAAAAAGTTAAAATATATTATATTATGTTCTAAATCTGTTGGCACGGTCCGCACATGGGACGTTCGTTCAAAGGTCTATTAGAATGTGCCACATCATTTTTTTGTTTGATATCGTTGTTGGGTATATAATGTTATGTACCGGATGATGTGGCGCGTTCTAATTGATCTCTGAACCATCCGTTGTCCGCACTTAATAATTTCTCGTTGGCTGGCCATATAAATATTTCTGCTGAAATCTTGAAAGCCTTTCAAATAAAAAAATAATATCATAATGAATTTTTAATTAAAATAAGTTGTTTGAACGGGCAGGATGAAGTTCTTTTGAATTTCCAACATATCAATATGATTAGATGGAAATTCATTTAATTTATTGCTTTTTTTAACTATAAAAATCTATATTTTAACTAATGTTAAGATTAAGACTAATATAAAGATTAAAAGCTCTTAGACATAATGAATTATAAAATCACGAACCGGTCATATGAAAATAGTGCCATAAAAACTTTCAATATATTAGATAAATCATAGAAGTTTTCATTAATATATGGTTCTTATCTACTTCTCTGTAAAAAAGAAATCTCTCAAATTATTTTATGTGAACACCGAACGTTGTTTAAAGATCAATAAAAATGCGTCAAGTCACTCTTTTACTGTACCATGACTCAGTACTTCTCGGTACCGATACTGACGCACCGGATGTAGATTTGCTTCCGGTGTCCGTAGAGAATAATTTCTCCTCAAAATCATCCCACTTAGGAAAAATATAAAATAATTATTTAGTACTTTTAATTGATTTTTACTAGGAGCTTTGTATCTAATTTTTTTATATCCAAAGAAATGAAAAAATAGTATCAAGAAATGTACACATAATATTTAATTTTGAAATAAAAAAATTTATGAACTCGGTTATTCGCCAAATAAATGATTTTATAAAGAATAATAATAATCTGAGTAAATAATTATATAATTTTATAAACAATATGAGTAGAGGCGGATCTAGACTTAATTTTCAGTTGAGACAAACTTATAAGTAAAAGTTAATATATAGTTTTTTTTTCATAAATATCCTTACAATCAAAATTTGTTCCAAGTGCGCTGCCTCTCGACCCCTATTTGTTTATCATTGTACGCTTCATAGATATGCCGGGGTTTTCGGGGGCAGCACCCCTGGAATAAATTTTGATTGTAAATATATTTTTGGATGCTCTTTACTATTTCTCTTTGTATTTGGTTCATCCTTCCTTAATAATAACGTCTCTAGAAAATGTGTTTAATTATGTTGAGGCAATTGCCTAAAAATCATAATATTTTAAAACTTTTTAAGGAGAGCAATTTACTAAAAACCCTTATAATTAAAACTAAAAAATACATGAAGAAGAATTAATTACCTAAAGAATCATATAACAAAGATGGCCTTATGCTGAATCCGTCCATGATTATAATAGGACAAATGAATTAGGAGGATTAATTAGTAAATAAAATGCTATAAAAAATAGAAGTACTCGTACGGCACGGTGCCAAAGAACGCCAATCACGTACGTACGGGCTCTGCTCCCCGACCGTACCTTAAAAAACACATTAATTTAATTGAGCTTCATACTATATTTATATACACAATACCCCTCGGCATTTTAAGTAACCAAGTACTCATACAGAGATCCTAACATTGCCCTTTAAGTGTTCGACACAATGGATTCAAGAAGTAGCACTTGGCTTGCCATCTTCCTTCTTGGCTTCCTGAGCTGGGCTTCGCAGCTGACCCTCTCTCGCCCCATCAGCCTCCCCATGGAGGTTCGATACCAGCAGTGGATGGCTCAGTACGGGCGCGTCTACAAGGATCCTATAGAGAAAGCTCGTCGCTTCAACATCTTCAAGGCCAACGCGGAGTACATCGACTCTGCCAACGCAAATGCCGGCCGCAAGTACAGGCTCGCCCTCAACCAATTCGCTGACTTCACCAATGATGAGTTCAGTTCTTCACGCAATGGTTTTTTAGACCTCTCGTTTATAGGCAACGCTGAATCTACCTCGGAGTTCCGTTATGGAAACGTGAAGGACGTGCCGGAAGCTGTGGATTGGAGGAGCCAAGGGGCTGTCACTCCCGTCAAGGATCAAGGCCATTGCGGTAAAAATAAATCACAATAAATTAATTAAAAAAAAAAAATCGTGTTGGAATTAGGGGTGCAACGGAGTCAAGCCCGTTCGCGAGCTGACTCGAGCTCGACTCGGTAATAGGCTCGACGAGCTCGAACGTGATTTCGAGCTGTAATCGAGCTTGAGGTCAACCAGAGGTCCGCTCGACTCGTCAGCTTGTCTAGCGGCTCGCGAACGTGACTGGTCGGGCGGGAAAACCAAATCGCGATGGTGATTGAGTGGGCGGACACTACTATTCAAAGGTCAGGTGAGAAAACCAATTTGATTGAGCACGGGACGATGACGGACGAGCCTCAGGATGATGGATCTCGACGAGGGAGCCTCGAGACGACGACGAACTAGCTAGCTCGGGAGGAGCGATCTCTATGGCGGACGTGATGACGAGCTCGAGACGATTGATCTTGCCAGCAGAGACTCGATACGACGATGAGCGAGCTCGGGACGATGGATCTCGATGAGAGAGCCTTAGGACTACGTACGATGATCAATACATGCATCGATCAACTTCATTAATTAATTACTTAATGAAAAAATAATAATAACACAATTAACATAAAGATGGACATCAAATTTATTTAATTAACTTAGATATTGATTGATACAATACAAACTTTTATATGTAGTATTTTAATCATAATGCATATCTAAAAAAATTTAAATATCATCCTCTTTGATATAAATTATTTTAGAATATTCTGATGCAATTTTTTATCTTGCGAATCATGCCTTCAGGATGTTGTTGGGCTTTCTCAGCAATTGCAGCCACAGAAGGAATCACGAAGATTAGCACAGGCAACCTCATCTCTCTCTCAGAGCAGGAGCTGGTGGACTGCGATACCAACGGAAATGAGCATGCATGCAAAGGTGGCACCATGGACGGCGCCTTCGATTTCATCATAAAAAATGGCGGCATTACAACTGAGGCCAACTATCCCTATCTCGGCACCAACGGAACCTGCAACACGCAGAAGGCCGCAACCGCTGAAGCTGCCGCCTCCATTAAAGGTTACGAAGACGTTCCGGCGAACAACGAATTCGCGCTAATGCAGGCGGTGGCGAACCAACCTGTCTCTGTTGCGATTGACGCAAACAGCTCGGACTTCAAGTTGTACGCCGGCGGCGTATTTACGGGGCAGTGCGGGACCAACATAGACCACGGCGTGGCTGTTGTGGGATACGGGACGGATTCGGACGGAACTAGTTTTTGGTTGGTGAAGAACTCGTGGGGCACTTCATGGGGAGAGCAGGGCTATATAAGGATGCAAAGAAATGTGACAGACGCTCAAGGATTGTGCGGGATTGCCATCCACCCTTCTTATCCAACAGTTTGAGCTTTCGATCGATTTGCTTATATGTTACAGTAAATGGTGAATTCTTATCAACTATGTTATCTTTTCATTTCACCTATACTTCGTATTGTATGTGATGTTTCCTTTAAAGATTAAAGATGTTTTTATTAAATTATAATGTGCGTATGTTTTCGATTGGTATTCAAATATAAATGCTTCTTCTTTTTTTTTTTTTTTTTTTTTTTTTTTTTTCATTAAAGTGATTCTCTTTATCACATATGTTAGAGTAGTTATATATTATGTACGGATGCCGAACGTCATCCAGAGCCCAATAAAAATATGTCACATCACTCGATGCCTAGTATTGAGGCTTCGTACTGCTCGGTACCGCAGCTTGGCACTGTTCGGTACTAGGTGACGTGATGTATTTTCATTGGGCTCTGGACTGTAGCTGTGTCCGGTGTCCGCACAGGATAATTTTTATGGGTATGACTTTTTAGCCATTGGTTAGAACTTCACAACTATAATTTAGGGCTACGTCAGCAGCATAACAAAATATTTTGATAAGATGTTTTTCTTTTGATGGAAATAAAATTTTTATAGATTTTTTTTACACGTTAGGATTCCGTTTGAGTTGACTTTTTTAATACTTCTTAAAGTAGCATTTTAGTAAAAAATTAAAATTTTTATACTAAAAAGCTGCTTTAAGAAATAGTAAACTGTCTCAAATAAAATCTAAAGTTTTTTTTTTTTTTTTGGTTAAAACCCTCACATGGGGCCTACACGTTCATTATCAAAACATCGGTTATAGTGTCCTTAAAAGGCTCCACCGGCTCTCTAGTGCTCAGAAGAGCTACAATCCAAAAAGAAAATAAAAGTCCTACGAGCCGGCAGATCCTTAAACTAAGATTACAAAAATAACCTAATGAAAATGGGCTATTAATCAATAGCACCCAAAAGAGGAGAGACCACTTAATCTTGATAGCTTTCAGCTCCGCTCTCATGCAAAAAGCACCACTATATAGCAAAAAGAAGAACCAGAAAATAAAATAACATACCTTTCTCAAAAATCTGTTTCGCTTGTAATAGTACCTGCAAAGAAATCTCAAAAAAACCATAAGACCAAAAATAACAAGTAACACCATACCAAACCACCACACACTAAGAAAAAACCCGCACCACGCAACACCGAGCATCTTAAGCCAAAAAACTTGCCAATAATATCTGTAAACATCCCTGCCCTTACCAGCAAAAAAACCCTCCAAACCCAGCCAATCATCCCCGTAACCCCCGGCACCAGTATTACAGCCCTCAGCACCCATGAAACCCACCACACAGCCCAAGCAAACAAAAATAACCCCCCAGTTAATAACGATCAACAACCCAGAAAGCATCTAGAAATACATCCAACCACAACAATTACACCAGCACAAAACCATAAAACACCACACCCCCCAGAAGATAGCACAAAGCTCCCAAAAACACAAAGAGAGCAGCCACAGAATAAAACACCAGGACAGCACCACCACAACCCAGAAACCACAACACTCGCCCATGCCTAAAGCGAGGCATAGACACCTTATCCAGTAACAGCATACCATTCAAGGATTGATCCAAATTATGAATATCCAACTCCTCATAACCACCAAGGGACGAACCCTTATTCGCTAACCAATCAGCACAGACATTACCTTCCCGGAAAATATGAGTTTTATAGCTGTTCATCAAGAGCAGTAAATTTTGAACTTTCCTAATAATATAAAAGTACTGAGCATTACCCAAGAAATCATCATTCAAAATTTGAACCAGATTTAAGGAATCCACTTCGATCCAGACCCAATTCAAACCCAATTTTAAACACATTTCCAGACCCAAAAGGAGGGCAGTTAATTCAGCCAAGATAACATCCCCCTCTTTCAACGGAGAAGCAAAAGCAGCCAAAGTATCACCAAGAGAATCCCTAATGATACCCCCCACTCCCGCCTTATTATTGCCAACCGACCCATCCGTATTTAATTTCGCATAAGGGGGTTTGGGTTTGATCCAGTAAACAACAGAGTCAGCAGTATTAGAGGATAACGTTACCAGATTGATGCCAAACTTCACCGCAAGATCTTTACACCTAGCAAAAGTCTTATAAGAAATAACTTTATAATTATAAAGCTGTAAAACTTTTCTTCTCACATTATTAATAATACTAGAAGCATCCATCTTAATATTTTCATGCTTTGCCTTATTCCTTACTTCCCAAATATACCATAATATGAGAATAGGTAACAAGTTGAAAAAATGACCTTTCACAGGCATAAACCAAATTTTCAACATAGATAATAAATTAACATGAGTAGTAGAACTATTCTTACCCGATAAGCTATTAAAATAAAATCACACCTATTGAGCCACGAGGCCGTTACAAAACAAATGATCAATATCTTCACTAAAGGAGCAACATAAACATTTAGAAGCAAGAACAATACCTTTCTTTTGCAACAAAATATCAATCGATAAGAAACCTTTAATGCAACGCCAAACAAAAGTTGAATAGGTTATAGGGAAAGAACTGTGCCAAATAGCGTCAAAAAACTGAGATTTCACCCCAGGATTCCTAATATTCACCCATATAATACGCAATTGAAATTTACCATTCGAAGAAGCCGAAAAAAGAATACTGTCATTACAGTAAATATTTAGGGGGATATCTATGATACAGTTCACTAAGCAAACATGCAAGAAAGCTTTCAACTTCTCCACACCCACACATTATCCCTAAAAAAGAAGAAACTTTGATCCTCTCCACAATATGAGAGTTTAAATATTCATCAATAGAGGATCCACCCAACCAGTTATCCTGCCAAAAATAAATATCACCCTTTCTCAATCCCCATTGCACAAAATTTTCCGCTTCCCACTTAATGTTGCACAACATTTTCCAAGTCAGGGAGTCAGAATTTTTAAAATAACACAAAACGGGGTGATTATTATTGCAATACTTCACATTCATATAACGAGCCCATAAACTACTGTTCGACCTAAAAGAAAACCACAACTTGTGAGAAAAAGCAATAGCCATATCATTGAAGTTCTTACAACCCAGCCCCCCTTCATCTAATTTCCCGCAAATTTCTAAAGTTGGTTGAAAAAACTGCATATTATTAGAAATAGTATTCATGTTAAAAAATATGTTGCAATAACCAATAAATTTTTTATGTTGGAATCTTATTATAATTTCCAATAAGCAATATGCTATTGGAGAAAATATAAAACTTTTATAAGCCTTAAAATTTTTCGATCTCAATGTAAATTGAAATAATGAATGATTCAATCCAACTTTGATGTAATTTGTGTTAGGATATTTTGATAAATTATATTAATATAAGTTTTTTTCGAACATTCAGCATAAAATATTTTAGAATTTCTAACATTTAAATATGATTACTTGGAAATTTATTTCACTCCATTTTTAAATAATAAAAATATACATAATTTATAGATCAAATGTTCCTAGTGATAATAAATTTATAAAATTAAAAATACTCATATAATTAAAGTGTCATAAGAGCATTCATTATACAAAATCATTCAAAAAAAGTCTAATTATTTTTTAAATATTAGATATATTTCTTGAAAATGAATAATTTACTTGCTCAACATAAATCTCGATACATTATTTTGTATTAAAAACTTTCGAAGTTAAGAGGAGAATCATCCAAAATTTGATTTCAACAAACTTATTATGAAACTAAAATTGACAAGATGCAGCCTATGACCAACTATTGGCAAGAGCAGTTCTATTTTAACACTAATTTCCTCAACTGTGATATGTTCAAAACTCATACTATTGTTAGATGGATTAAGTCTCAAATTCACGAGCATGAACTATATATTGATGGTTTTTTAAACAAAAATGGTGTTGGGGTGTGGTGGTCTTATTAGAGATCTTACGGGTCACTTTATTCTTCATTGTGCAGCTAATATTCCCTCATACAAAACTATTTTTGCTGAGTTATATGCTCTTTATAAAAGTTTACAACTTTGCATAGAAAATAATATCCTTAATGTTTGGATTGAAACTACTCTAAGTTACTGCCATCCTTTGTGCTATCCCGTAAATGTTTTTTTTTTTTTTTTTGGGAATAATATGGGCTTAGCCCTTTCATTAATCAAACAAAAAAGTTACATGTGTAGAATCAGAAAACAGAAAACTGATTACTGTAAATTGAAAATTGTAAAGGGAAAAAGAAGAAGACTAAAAGCTAAAGCTAAAACAAAAAGTAAGGGCTCAGTAAAGTGAATTGCAAGGAGGAAATTCCCCTGGTTGCACTGATAGTCGTTAAGCATATCAATCGGGTCAATAAAAAACAATGCCGTCCAAGGGGATAAGCAATTCTGACATCATTGCCCCCAAAAGATACCCAACCACCTTTTAGCATAAGATCAAAATGTCCATCTGTTCCAGCGAAGAGCAAGTTAGCAATCTGTTCAAGGATAGCTGGGAAGGAGAGAATCCAATAGGGAGTTACAACAGACGTAAGAGAAGGTCAGAATTTTTCCATTTAGCTATCTTCATACACACAACCATACGGATCTTATGAGAAACAGTAAGAATAGAGGAATGAGAATTCTCATACCTCCTAGCATTTCTTTCTTTCCAAATCATGCAAACAGAGCAACAGATTAACAGAAGATAGCAATTCTTCATCTTCGATCCCATCAGTCAAAAGTATAGTATCCAAAACCTGGCTTAAATTCGGTCTAAGGAGATGACTGTTCAGCAAAGGAATAAGCTTAGTAATGACAACAAAAGAAAAATCACACTCAAAAAACAAGTGTCTAGCATTTTCAGAGCAACGACCGTGACAGAGCACACAAACATCAGAAACAGAAAGACCTCTCAAACTAAGATTATCAGCTGTTTTCAACCCATTCAGCATAGCTATCTAATAGTAAGAGGAATAACGCAAGGCATATCTTTTATGCCAAACCATGTGATGCCAACTCACAGTAGGCAACTGCCTATAAAAAAATTTAATATATTTGCTTAA